AAGAGACTGAGCTGAATACAGCTCCTCAGACTGAGGAAGTCTCTCGGATGAGAGACGAAACGTTTCTACATTTTTTGTTGATTTGCTTTGTTTTGTTTTTTTGAATGTCCAGAAGACCAGATTTTACTTTTGTAGAAGGCAGGAAAAGGTTACAATTGACAGCGCTGGGCTCTCCGATCTGTGACGCGTTCACAGACCTGGAAGAGCCCCGATGTCTCGTGTCATTAATCATTTATAGGGTCCTAGACTTCGCCTTTGCAGAAGGGGAGCTCAACCTGTCAGTGTATGAGGGGGCGTGAATAAGTGTGATCTCAGTGGATCTTATGTGGTTATGACATGTTAGGAAATATGATACAGTGCTTCACAAGCCTTCTACGTGATGTGGCAAGCAGATTAAACTATTCCTTGACTGATATTGAAGTCCCAGGGAGACTCTCTTGCTGGCCCAGTTTAACCCAGTCAGAACCGGGTCATAATTTCATTATAATCCCGTCTTTGAGCAGATCAAAACCATAGGACCAGTCCAAAAATATCGTAACAGAACGCCTCTGTATTCCCCCGGAGGAGCTGGACCAAGTGGCTGGGGACAGGGAAGTCTGGGCATCCCTACTTAGGCTGCTACCCCAGTGACCTGACCCTGAATAAGCGGAAGAAAATGGATGGATGGATTATTCTAGTCTGTGTGGTCTATATAAAGGTTGATCTTTAATTTCAGAAAATAACTCACATTTTAAATTTTTATGAGACTGATTAATTAAACTCAATATTTTGACCCCTTCCTCTACAGTTGACACCTTGGTATCACAAGCAGGTGTCACAATGAAGGTATCCAGATGGAAAGTGCCACCAGTTGGCCCCCTGTTCTCGAAGAAGGGGGAGTGTTCCCAGTGGATTCTCATAGTTCAAACAAGAACCAGTATGATGTAAATCATAGCAGTTGTGGAAACACAAATGAATTAGTTATGCTAATCAACATTTGAACTAATACATTTAAGAAATTCATTGTTTGCAGTGCAGAGGAAATGAACCCCTCTCTGCTTGCACTTCTTGCTGGGTATGGAATGAAATGCACAACACTAAAATCTTGACTAAAATTCTTTTAAAACTATTTTTGGAAACAGTTGTGCCAGGTTTTCTTTAAGGTGTGAATATATTGCAGATGTATTTATTGCAATATTGATGGTCCGTGCATGGAAGAAATCAATTTTGTCAACAGGACTAATTATGTTTATAAGGATCAGCTTTTCTGTAATGAATCAAAAGGTATCCAGGAACAAACTGTGACATCCTATTTATTATACTCAGTTGTAGTCTTTTTGACACTTGTTATAATATGTGGAAATCTTCTTGTAATAATCTCCATTGTCTACTTCAAACAGCTCCACACTCCAACAAATTACCTCCTCCTCTCTCTGGCTGTGGCTGATCTGCTTGTTGGAGCTTTAGTTTTGCCTTTCAGCACAATATTATCTCTAAGCTCGTGCTGGTATCTCAGTTATTTACTGTGCAAACTTAGAGGTCTCTTTGATGTGTTGCTGTGTGCATCATCTATTTTGCACCTGTGCTTTATTTCTGTTGACAGATATTACGCTGTCTGTGAGCCTCTAACATATGCAACTAAAATGAATGTGCGTGTCATTGTGACCATGATTGTGCTAAGCTGGATTCCTGCTGCTCTGCTTGGAATTGGTATCACATTTCGTGGGCTAAAAACTGACATTTCCAGCTGGAAGTGTGATATATTTCAAACTACAAAAGAATCCAGTATAGGCCCTGTTTTTGCATTTTACATTCCAACTTTTGTGATTTTAACCATCTACTTAAAGATTTTGATGGTAGCAAAGAAGCAGGCACGCAGCATCCAAAACACCTTAAAGTTAGGATCAGCTGTCAGTAAGATGGAGAGAAAGGCCAGCAAAACTCTAGCTTTAGTAGTGGGAGTGTTCCTCATTTGTTGGACTCCCTTTTTTGTCTCAAGCAGTTTTTATCATATGAAAAATCGCACAATTCCAGTTCTTGTTATTGAAGCTTTTAAGTGGCTTGGATGGTCCAATTCACTGCTTAATCCATTTGTTTATGCTTTCTTCTACAGGTGGTTCAGGTCAGCTTTTAAAATTATAATTTCTGGTCAAATATTTCAAGGGGATTTTACAGATTCAAAACTTTTTTGAAAGTTATTTAAGGAGCTGCCGTAACAATAATTGAATGGCTATCTTGTCACTTGCATTATTTCTTTCTTTTTCTAACCAAATTGCCAGTGCATGATGAATTTACAATGTCTTCTGTAAAAACACTTAACTAAACAAATAAAAACTGTTCACATACCCATTCCTTTGTATTATATGGTGGTGAGCTCAATTTCTCATTCTGTTGTTACTGTGAAATACTGTGAAACACTTAAAGGTGCTGCAAATTAAGAACTAGGCAAATAATGTTTGCATTGTACTGGTTGTGACATTAATAAAACAAAATTGTATTTACAAAAATATCAAAGGACATTTCTTACATGTATCGGTTTAGGTATGTAGATAAAGAAGTAGGAATATTGTTCATTCATCAACAACAGCTTTTATAACCCCTTTTGTATGATATGAAAGTAATAATTGTCATGGCCTTTAGTGGTCTTGACAGATGTGGGTATTGGATGGGGTAGCACTGGGCATGCCCAAAGTTGGAAAGAGTCTTAAATTTAGTTAAATATTTGTGCCCCATTTCAGTTAAATTTTTATTGCAATTAACATTTAGCATTTATTTAGTTATTTTAATACAGTAAGGCAACAATTAATCCCTAAATTTCCTGCGAGATCAATAAAGTTCTTATATTATTTCTTAAATTGACTGAATGCCATATTGTGTTTTCTTTGGCAGTCCTATTAGTTTTATTACATTATCTTAAAAATAATAAACTAAAAAATGTTTTAATTCAGTTCTTTTTTTAAAAGATGCATAATAATTCTATATAATAAAAGCAAGAGCTGTGTCCACAATCTTGACATAAAGCCGAGCTCATTCTCAGTGCAGGCTGAACTCTGCCAGTGCTGTTTTTTGTCTGCAATCTGGTTTGTGGTGTTCATGGATAGGATCTCTAAGTGCATTCATGGAGAAAAGCAGTGGTGGCCGGCCAATAGAGGGTGCCAGAGCACCACCCACCCACTGAAACCACTCACCATTTTACATTGAAGACTTAAAACATTTTAAATGAAAAATTAAATAATAAAATAAAAATATTTTTGAAATATATGTACATTTTTTTAGTTGTGTAAGATAAATATCTTATAGTTAATGTTGAGTTAAATTGTTTCTTTCAAAAACGTTGTCTGATTGGTGACTTATTTCCATCCTCTGGGGGCATAAGAATCTTTGTTCATAAACTATTGTTACAAATTGAACATGCACAATAGTGCCTCTTCTGTACAAGAGATAGGAAGATTCTGGGTACCAATATCTGCACCCGGGGCACCCAAGAACACAAACGTTACGATCGATTGTACTTCTGGTCTGGACAGATTTGTTTTGTTGATTTGTCCGGGAACAGATCGTGCAGTGACACTCACAAGCAGGCTGGCTGCAGGTAGGCTTTAAGCCATTGAAAGCCCTTTATCTAATGCCTATTTGCCATTTCTGACTATGCCATGTCTCTGTTTGTGAAAAAAAAAAACCTTCAGCTGATTGTATTCTTTTGTGGGGAGTGGTGGCGCAGAGGTTAGAGAGGTGGGCCTGTGATCGGAAGATCGCCGGTTCACCGACTACATCAAAAAAATGTAGGTGGGGTAGGTGAAGCACCCACACTTGCCTCCACCCTCATTCGCCCCGCTCTGGGCCTATGAGCAAGGCCCTTAACCCCCCATCTGCTCCCTAAACAGGTCTCTCTTGAAAATGAGTTCTCGTGGCTCAATGAGACTACCTGTATAAATAAAGGGTAAAAAAAAAAAGTCTAAAAGTGAGAACTGGTGAGTTTGTTTCTTTGTTTGTTTCTGGAGCTAGCAAATACTACCTTTATCTAATGCCTATATTATTATGTTGCCATTTCTGGCTGATATGCCTGAAGATTCATTCAGCCTTTATTTAGACAGGTTAATCCCATTGAGCCACAAGGACTCATTTACAAGAGAGACCTGATTTCAACAAAGAATGATGACATTGTAGAATCTAAGAAACTATTAATTGGATAATCTGTTTAATAAGGCCAAAAGCAAATGTCTTTTAACTTACAACTGTGTTCAACAGAACTTGCTTTTATCAGACTCTGAGATGTGCTTGAGCTGACCTGTACTTGCTCTAAAAGTACCAGGAATTTCTGGGCATAAGATGAAATAAGACTGTTTTCCATCAGAACTGTTTTAACATCCAGATTGTTAATGTCAATCTGACCTGATAGGAATTTGTTTTCTGTGCCAGAAAAAGGAGTGTGTTTATATTACGGGAAACTTGTGCATCAAATATCTTGTCACAAACCCAGGAAAGTGTCTCCAGTAATACTGATCGGTCGAATAACATACTCTTATGTGGAAATCTGCAAATGCCAGATAACAACTCTTTTGGAAAAACAAGTATGTTCGTGTGCTGGTCCAAAGAGTATAAATAAGAAACTGAACTGTATTTAGACAGGGGTTCTGTCTTTGAGGTCCCGAGGTATTTCTGGCTGTTCGGCCTTAGGGCTAAGCTTCAAATAAAACCCCCATTTTGCTGTCAAACAGAACCAAGGTGTCTACTGTTTTATTAATGAACCCAAGAGTACTAATGTAGTAGTGGACACTACAACAACAATGGACAACAGCAACAACAAGAGACAATCATAAAAGAGGCATAGTTGTTTTTTGTTTTGTTTTTTACAAGTTAAAATAAGATGGCAAAAAAAGTAGCAAAAACAGCTAGATTTTTTTTTTTTTTTTTTTTTTAATAGATGGCCTCCCTTCTCCCCTTACAGCCATCCTCTCCACACCATTATTA